TTCCTAGTACTCTCACATTACTCCTGTTACTTTCCCATTACTAGTACTCTCAGATTACTCCTGTTACTGTCCCACCATCAGTACTCACATTACCCGTGACTTTCCCATTACTCGTACTCTGACATTACCCCTGTTACTTTCCCATTACTGGTACTCTCAGATTAATCCTGTTACTTTCCCATTACTAGTGCTCTCAGATTACTCCTGTTACTGTCCCATTACTAGTACTCTCAGATTACTCCTGTTACTGTCCCATTACTAGTACTCTCACATTACCCCACTGACTTTCCCATTACTAGTACTCTCACGTTACTCCTGTTACTGTCCCATTAGTAGTACTCTCAGATTACTCCTGTTACTGTCCCATTACTAGTACGCTGACATTACCCCTGTAACTTTCCCATTACTAGTACTCTCACGTTATTACTAACCCCCTTGCTGTGATACGGAATGACCCTCTAGGTTGTCCCTTCGGCTCCAGCAGAAGTCCACACATGCGCACACCGGCCCTTACCTGCGTTGAGACCCGGATCCCCCAAAACCCGGATCGCAAAGAGGGAGGAGGACGCCTTATGGAGTCATGGCGGCATTCAATGAATTAGGAGCAGCTCCGGGGTTGATGGTGCTGCAAAGGACTCACCATGGAACAGCGAGACTTACTGCAGCGCCTTCTCCATCACAGCCCCGAGCCCGAACACAGGCCGTGTGACATCAACACGTCACACGGCATTACGTCAACACAAAACACACGCTGCAACGTTACACGTATCCCAGGAGCTCATTGCTGCCTCCTGGTGGTTTGTAGTTTGTCTGCAGCGAAATTCAGCCAAGAAACCCATTTAAGATGGGCAACATAAACAGAGACTGGAAAGTCAGCAAAGGTGGCTCATACAATAAGACTCTGTGTTACCGCTCAAATGGGACAGTGGTGTAGAACAGGGAGACCTATGGGTGCTGGTACGTTATTCTTTGAAGTTTGCATCACATATAGATAGGGTGGTTAAGAAGTCATTGAGCACACTTGCCTTCATTGCTCAGACCTTTGAATACAGCAGTTGGGATGTCCAGGACGTTGATGAGGCCCCTTCTAGGGTACTCTGTCTAGTTCTGGTCGTCCCGTTTTAGGGAGGATATTATCAAGCAGGAGAGGGTTCAGAAGGGATTTACCAGGATGTTGCCAGGAATGGAGGGTTTGAATTATCATAGAATCCCAACAGTGTGGGAACAGGCCCTTCGGCCCAACAAGTCCACACTGACCCTCAGAGCATCCCACCCAGACCCATCCCCTATAACCCACCTAATCTACACATCCCTGAACACTACAAGCAATTTAGCATGGCCAAAACACCCACGCTGCACATCTTTGGATTGTGGGAGGAACCCAGAGGAAACCCACACCGACATGGGGAGAACATACAAATACCACACAGTTGCCCAAGGGTGGGATCAAACCCAGGTCCCTGGTGCTGTGAGGCAGCAGTGCTAACCACTGTGCCACCCACAGAATTATGAAGAGAGGCTGGATAGTCTGGACATTTTGTGCTGGAGCATAGGAAGTTGAGGGGTGACCGTATAGAGGCTTATAAAACAATGAGGGGTATAGATAAGGTGAATGGCAGGTGTCTTTTCCCTAGGATAGGGAATTTAAAGGCTAGGTGGCATTTTTTAAGGTGAGAGGAGAAAGACTTAAAAAAGACCACAGACATTTATTTTGCACAGAGTGTGCTTCCTGTGTGGAGTGAGCTTTCAGAGGAAGTGGTAGACGCAGGTATGGTTACAACATTTAAAAGGCATTCAGATAAGTACATAAATAAGAAATGTTTGGAGGGATATGAACGAAGCACAGGCATATGGGACTAGTTTAGTTTGGGATTATGGTCAGAAAGGTCTGTTCCTGTGCTACATGACTCTATTACTCTATATGTCTTCTTCAGAAAGTTAATTCTGTCCACAATTATGTGCAGTTAGGAGGGAGTTGCCTTAGGCATTCTCAAAATTGACCCCAGCTCCCATGAAGTCTCATGGTATTAGGTCCAGGAGACTATAAGATGTAAGAGTAGAAGAAGACCATTCAGCCCATCAAGCCTGCTCCATCATTCAATGAGATCGTGTTGATCTGAGAAAACCCAACTGTACTTTTGTGTCTTTTCCCCACTACACTTGATTGCTTTATTGATTAAAAACTTGTCTGTCTCAGCCTTGAATACACTGACTGACTTAGTCACAGCTTTGTGTGATAAATAATGTCACAGATACACTATCTTCTGACAGAAAAAAATCCTCCTCATCCCTATCTTAAATGTGTGACCCTTTATTCTGAAGTTGTGCTTTGTGGTCCTAGAATCACCCACAAGAGAAACAACCTTTATATATCTACTCTGTCAAATCCACTAAATATCTCATATACTTCAATAAGGTCATCGCTCATTCTTCCAACATTCAATTAATACAGGCCCAAACAATGCTATCTACACACATAAGTCAGTCTCTTCATACCTGAAAATAGCCTATTGAATCTTCTCTGAATTGCCTTCAATGCCAGCATATCATTCGTTAGATGTGGGGCCCAGAACTGTTCACAGTATTCCTGCTGTGGTCTGACTAGTGCCTAACATTGGTTTGCAAAGACTTCACTACTGTTATACTCTATTCCCTTTGAAATAAAGGCCGACATTCCATTGCACTTCCCTATTAACCGCTGAGCTAGAATGCCATTTTTTTGTGTGTTTCATGGATAAGGACTTCCAAATCCCTTTCAACAATAATATTCAGCAGTTATTTAAGCAACATTAATATCCTCCACACTTCCAGCCAAACTACATAATCTCACAATTTCTCACATTACATTTCAACTGCCAAGTGAGATTTAGGGTTAGGTTTTGGGTTAGGGTGCAGCAGGTGGTTAACGAAAACACCAAACCTAACCCTAACAATAGCCCTAGCCATAATCCTATCACAGAAACAGAGGATGAAAAACAGAGGATGCAAAAGAGAGCAGCAGAAACTGGGTGGCAGAAACAGAGGATGAGAAACAGAGGATAAGAAACAGAGTGGCAGAAACAGAGATTGAGACACAGAGGGGGAGTAACAGAGTGGCAGAAAAAGGGTGAAAGAAACAGAATGGCAGAAACAGAGGATGAGACACAGAGTTGAAGAAAGAGAGTGGCAAAAACAGTTGATGACAAACAGTAGATGAGAAATACAGCATGAGAAAGAGAGTGGATGAAACAGAGTATGAGAAAGAGTTGCAAAAACAGAGTGGCAGAAACAGGGTAAAAGAAAGAAAGAAAGTTGCAGAAACAGAGGATGAGAAACAGGATCAGAAAAAAAAAAGTAGCAGAAACAGAGTGGCAGAAGCAGAGGATGAGAAAAAAAGGATGAGAAACAGAGGATGAGAAGCATTATCAGAATCAGAGTGGCAGAAAGAGGCTGAAAGAAACAGAGTGGCAGAAAGAGAGGATGCAAAATGAAGGATGAGAAACAGAGTGGCAGAAATAGAGTGGCAGAAGCAGAGAGGCAGAAACAGGGTGAAACAAAGAGACTGGCAGTAGCAGAGGATCAGAAACTGAGAGGCAAAAACAGAGGATAATAAACAAAGAATGTGAAACAGAATAGCAGAAACAGCAGAAGAGAAACAAAGGATTGTAAACAGAGGTTGAAAAACACAGTGACAGAAGCAAAGTGGCGGAAACGGGGTGAAAGACACAGACTGGCAGAAACGAGACAGAGAAACAGAGTGGCAGAAAGAGGGTGAAAGAGGATGATCAACCAAGGATCAGATACTGAGAGGTGAAAACAGAGGATGATAAACAAAGAATTCAAAACAGGCAGGCAGAAACAGAGGATGAGAAACAAAGGATGATAAACAGTGGTTGGAAAACAAAGCAGCAGGAACAAATTAGCACAAACAGGGTGAAAGGAACAAATTGGCAGAAAAAGTGAAAGAGAAACAGTGCTTGAGAAGCAGACTGGCAGAAAGTGAGGACAAGAGACAGAGTAGCAGAAGCAGAGAATGAGAAAAAGTGGACCGGAAACTGAAAGACAGAAACAGAGGATGGTAAACAGGGAAAGCAAAACACAGTGGCAAAAAAGGGTGAAAGAAAGAGTCGCAGGAACAGAGGATAACAAACTGAGGGGCAGAAACAGAGGATGAGAAACAGAGGGGAAGAAACAGATGATGAGAAACAGAGCAGCAGAAACAGATGATGAGAAACAAAGAATGAGAAACATTGGGGCAGAAACACAGGATGAGAAACAGAGTGGCAGAAACAGGATTAGAAACAGAGGATGAGAAACATAGGACGAGAAACAGAGGGGCACAAACAGAGGAACAGAAGCAGAGGGGCAGAAAGAGATGATGAGAAACAGAGGGGAAGAGGCAGAGGGGCAGAATTAGAGGATGAGCAACAGAGGGCAGAAACAGAGAATGAGAAACAGAGGATTAAAAACATAGACGCAGAAACAGAGGGACAGAAGCAGAGGATGAGCAACAGAGGATCAGACACAGTGGAGTAGAAACTGAGCATGAGAAAAATGTGTGGCAGAAACAGAGTGGCAGAAAAAGGGGATGAGAAACAGAGAAGCAGAAACAGGGGGTAAGAAACAGACAATCAGAAACAGAGGATAAGAAACAGTGGTTGAGAAAAAGAATGGCAGAAACATGGGATGAGAAATTGAGTTGCAGAAGCCGAGGTTGAGAAACAGACAACAGAAACAGAATGGCAGAAACAACATGTTAAATGGAGGATTAGAACCACAGTGGCACAAATGGAGCATGAGAAATGGAGTAGCAGAAAGTGAGGATGACAGACAACGTGGCGGAAGCAGAGGATGAGAAAGAGTGGATCAGAACCTGAGAGGCAGAAACAGAGGATGATTTCTAGAGAATCAGTAACAGAGGGTCAAGAAAGGGAAAAGAAACAGAGTGGCAGAACAGAGAAGGAGAAACAGAGGGGCAGAAACAGAGTTTGTGAAAGATAATGGCAGAAACAGATGAGAAACAGAGGATGTGAAACAGAGGATGGGAGAGGATGAGAAGCTGAGTGGCAGTAACAGAGGATGCAAAACAGAGGGTGAGAAACAGAGGGGCAGAAAGAGAGCTGGAGAAAGAGTTGATGCAAAACAGAGCATCAGAAACAGAGGAGGAAAATCAGAGGTAGAAACAGGTGGGAAGAAACAGACGATGAGAAACAGAGGTGCAGAAGCACAGGATGCGAAACAAAGGATGAGAAACAGACAATGAGAAACAGGAGATGAGAAACCGAAAGAGAAACAGAGCATGAGAAACAGAAGGGGAGCAACAGTGGATGAGAAACAGAGAATGAGAAACAAAGGATGGGAAAGAGAGGATGAGAAGCAGAGTGGCAGTAACAGAGGACGCAAAACAGAGGGGCGGAAAGAGAGCTGGAGAAAGAGTTGATGAGAAACAGAGGATCACAAACAGAGGAGAAAAAGCAGAGAGGTGGAAACAGGTGGGAAGAAAGAGAGGATGAGAAACAGAGGTGCAGAAGCACAGGATGTGAAACAGAGGAGGGGCAGAAACAGTGAATGAGAAAGAAAGGATTAAAAACATAGATGCAGAAACAGAGGGACAGAAGCAGAGATGAGTAACAGAGAAAACAGAATTAACTTTTCGGGTCCAGTGACCCTTCCTCAGAACTGATAGTGGCTGGGAAAACGTCGGTTTATATGCAGAA